AGATAGATTTTCCTGATCCTTAACTCATAAAAAGCTTAATTGTCTGCAAACAGTTGGTAGCGGGTAATTTCACCAGCGTTGTAAGTAATGCAGGTGTTGTCCAACCTGTAGGAAACACGAATAGCGCCTCTTTCGGAACACATCTTTATTACAAACATCAGTTGTTGGGTCACGGTGGCCCACGTACAGGTATTTAAAAAATGAAATTATAAGCTACTCTACAAAGGCTACTGTTGCAAAAAGCCTTCTTGAACTTTTTCAAATTAAGTTTTTTTTGTACTGATAACTATGCAACATCATTTCTGTTCGGTCTTTGACTGTTAATCATAAATTCATTACACGGTGTAGAGGCCTGTGACTTAATATCACAACATAACAATATTTTCGCGCAACGAGTCAGGGAGAAATTCTCCACGGGACATATAACAGGAGGAATTGAGAAGAAATTTTAATCCGAAAACTTGGAGGAAAGACACCTTTTGGAACATCTGGACGCAAATGCTAGGATAATGTTAGTAGTCGTCTTAAATACGTTTCTCAATAAGTTACAGACCCGTATCACTGCAGAAGTTCGATCAATCGCCACTTAAAATTTTGTTATCAAAAGAATGATGTTGTCTTTTGAGGGTAGAGCATTGTGTCTGCAATTGATACGATACGAGCAATGATACCTGAGCATTGTTTAAACCAAATATCTCCGTATGTTTATTAACGAAGTTTTTCGTCATGCGGCAGACACGGAATTCTGCCCAGAACGTCATATCCAATTCATACGAAGACCAGTATTTATTACAAATGCTTTTATCTCTCACCGCATATTTACTAGATGACGTCATACGCAAGATAATGTGAACACCAGTGATTTCCCACTGTGGTTTTTTCCACGTTTTAATAGCGTTTTAAATCAACACATTTCTTATTGTATTAGGAGGGTCTATGTTTCTTGTATTTCGTAATAAAGCGGTTATACCATTCCTTTTGTTTTTAATTTTGTGTATTCCTTGATATTTCTCAAAAAATTTATTCCTATTGCTTGAATATTTTCAACGTTTTCGACATTATTAATAACAGTTTTACTTCCAGATGGGGCCTGGTATCTCCTTATAGTATTTGACAATTTTCCGTTTCCTTAATTGTCGTACCGCGCAATCATTGATATACGTCTGTCTTAGTTCCGTAGTTCTGTGTCATTATTACGTCACTAATGATGAAAACGACGCCAAAGAGTTCATAAAAAGCAGGTTAAAGGGTTTGTATGAAGTCTGTAGCTTCTTGAGTCTAAGTTTTTTATTTTCGCTAAGTTTTAAAGACACGCAGTCGTCTATTCCATGCGAATTTAAGTTCTGTTCGTGTGTTATTTGAAGACAAGTCAGAGCAGGAAGTTAGTTTTCCGTCACGGAATTGTGAACGCCATGATCTACCGCAAGCTGAACAGAAAAGACCCTCATTTCCAGCTCTAGTTATCTCATTTTCCTTATCTTGTCCCTGTTGCTTGTGCCTTATCTTTATTTTAAAGTCCTCTCTTTCTCCTGTAATTGTTTACAACTTGTTCTGACGCCCCACAAGCGCTCTTAACCTACCCCAACAGGAAGCGCGTATCTCTGCGCTCCCCTTGATCCACGTCAGTTTGTCATTCGGAGCACAAAGGCTGATCTTTTTGCTGTCACACTTTTTAGTCGAAGGAAAGTGAAAATAATTTTTATATCGGTGCTTCACAGACACGGGAAATGACAAGATTTTTTGCCACATATTTAATAAATGCTTGCCAACGTATCAGAGATCAGAGGTTTTCACAGCGGTGAGTATGAAGATTTCCGTCTTCTGGGTTGTTGCGCTGTGTAGTCTGATCGATGTTAACCAAAGTTTCAGAGGTCATACTGCCTCCATCATCAGGGCGACGAAGATTTCTGTCTTCTGGGTTGTTGCGCTGTGTAGTCTGATCGATGTTAACCAAAGTTTCAGAGGTCATACTGCCTCCATCATCAGGGCGACGAAGATTTCTGTCTTCTGGGTTGTTGCGCTGTGTAGTCTGATCGATGTTAACCAAAGTTTCAGAGGTCATACTGCCTCCATCATCAGGGCGACGAAGATTTCTGTCTTCTGGGTTGTTGCGCTGTGTAGTCTGATCGATGTTAACCAAAGTTTCAGAGGTCATACTGCCTCCATCATCAGGGCGACGAAGATTTCTGTCTTCTGGGTTGTTGCGCTGTGTAGTCTGATCGATGTTAACCAAAGTTTCAGAGGTCATACTGCCTCCATCATCAGGGCGACGAAGATTTCTGTCTTCTGGGTTGTTGCGCTGTGTAGTCTGATCGATGTTAACCAAAGTTTCAGAGGTCATACTGCCTCCATCATCAGGGCGACGAAGATTTCTGTCTTCTGGGTTGTTGCGCTGTGTAGTCTGATCGATGTTAACCAAAGTTTCAGAGGTCATACTGCCTCCATCATCAGGGCGACGAAGATTTCTGTCTTCTGGGTTGTTGCGCTGTGTAGTCTGATCGATGTTAACCAAAGTTTCAGAGGTCATACTGCCTCCATCATCAGGGCGACGAAGATTTCTGTCTTCTGGGTTGTTGCGCTGTGTAGTCTGATCGATGTTAACCAAAGTTTCAGAGGTCATACTGCCTCCATCATCAGGGCGACGAAGATTTCTGTCTTCTGGGTTGTTGCGCTGTGTAGTCTGATCGATGTTAACCAAAGTTTCAGAGGTCATACTGCCTCCATCATCAGGGCGACGAAGATTTCTGTCTTCTGGGTTGTTGCGCTGTGTAGTCTGATCGATGTTAACCAAAGTTTCAGAGGTCATACTGCCTCCATCATCAGGGCGACGAAGATTTCTGTCTTCTGGGTTGTTGCGCTGTGTAGTCTGATCGATGTTAACCAAAGTTTCAGAGGTCATACTGCCTCCATCATCAGGGCGACGAAGATTTCTGTCTTCTGGGTTGTTGCGCTGTGTAGTCTGGCCGATGTTTACCAACGTTTCAGAGGTCATACTGCCTCCGTCATCAGGGCGAATGTTTAAACCGTACAGCAAGTCGGTTTAATTTATGATTTGTTGACATCCCAAATATTTATTCGTAGCCTTCCGATACCAATGTGAGATGTAAATAGCACAAAGGACGCATGTGGAACCCAAGTTATATTAAACGAGTTCGCTTCTCCACTCTTCTTTCACGTCTTGTCACAGCCTGTGAAGTGCAATCCTCGTGCAAACGAAACTTTGTATGAATTTCAAAAATCATGTTATGACAGATGTTGTGTAGGTGATGATGTTTTTCTTCGAAAGAAGCGTGCTGAAAATAATGTCCATTAGCAGGACCGTTGAATGAGTGAATCAGTGGCACAAGTCGCTAAGACGAGTCATAATAACGGCCGCTGACAAATATTTGTTTAAAAGGCAATATAGTCAGAGAGTCATGGTTAAAAAATACCAGGTGTTTCAGCACAAAACGCTTGTGGTATAATATCCGATTCACAATCAGAAGGGCCGTGTTAAAAACTAGCCCATGATGGCTTTCCTGATAGGTGGCATACATTATTTCACACTAGCTGCGTGAAACTTGGAATTCGACTTTAAAATAGGCCACAGCCACTTTCTGTTTCCTGCATAAACCACCATACTCATCTGAGTTTGCCACACTCATCTTTGGCTACCGTGGATCAGATAGTTGGATCTGTATTCTGACTTAGATTTAACTAAGAAATCACGAATCATTTAGAAATACAGGAATACCTCGCAGATATTGCGGGCTCGGTTCCAGACTACCGCAATAAAGCGAGTCACACAAATTTTTTTTTTGTTTCCCAGTGCATGTAAAATTTATGTTTAAATTATACTGTAGTCTATTAAGTGTGCAATAGCATTATGTCTAAAAAGAACAATGCGAGAATTACCAAAATGTGACACAGAGA